AAGCTAGACTGGCATGTCTACATCAACAATAGCAGAGTGGAAATGATTAAACTAAGAGAGATAGTTAGATGCACATTTGCTATATCATGTATTGAGGTGGAGGTATGCTGATAAGAGAAATTACCACCGAGAGGCTACCATTTGTGTTTAGACTTAGCGTAATAGGAAGAGGAGAGAGAGACATTAGAAAAACAGGGAGTAAAGACTGAGCTCAAAGTTCCGTGGTCATCAAATGCCTTTAGCCAGGAGGCCAGGCTGAGGCAGGTGGTCTGTGTCTTCAGGACCATCATAGGCTGTATCTCTCGTTGCTGTCAACCAGCGTTCAATGTTACATGCTCTTCTCACTACAGGCAGGCTGAGTCTTCGTGATGCTGGGGAGTGCTGGGTTGCCTGCGTGCATGAGCCGCATGCAGGTAGGTGAGGTCGCCGAGGTCCCCATCTGGGAGCATGTATCCGTGTTGGGGCTCTGCAAGGACACTTTACCACTAGTGTATGCTGCGAGGGGTGCTTGCTCTTTTTGGCTCTCGGCCTTATGGAGGTACAGGGAGTGCTTGGGGCTTCCGTGGGCTTAGCTGAGGTGAGTGTGGGTTGCTGCTGGCGGGACTCAATCTGGGCCCAGAACGCTGCACACAGGGTGTCGAATGCCACCTGGAACTTTATGTCCCAGTGGAGCATGTGGTTGGTCGGTGCGGCGGCCATCTTGGGTTCACTACTCACCACTTGTCGATAAGGTGAGTGTAAGCTGCTATGCTTGGGAGGTGTAGTAGTGTTCCCTGGTGGGGACCGGGATATCCCCCACCGGTCCGGGGGGGGGGGAAGGGGAGATCAAATCTGCTCGGTCTGCTCGGCCAAATAGAACGCTGGGAGAGCGGCCATCCCTCCCGCGCCAGGTCCGCCTGCAGGCCGCAAAGTCAGGAATCGGGCAATCCGGTGAGTAAAGTCAGTAGTTTGACATTAGCGTGTTGACCAGGATGCCCTTATTCACGCTATTAATTTTGCACAGTCTGATCTGTAGGTTGGCGGTCTTTTAGTGCCTCAAATCAGTGCTTGAAGCAGGAGCTTGCCAGACATGTGACTGCTCCGCTTGGATGTCAGGCCCCACCCCCGAAGCCATTTATTATCACGTAGTTGTTTGGCTCCTTTTTAAATCATAATGATAGCAGAAATCACCCAAATGGCCCTGATCAAAAGTTTACAAACCGTTGCATGTTTGGCCTTGTTACAGGCACACAAGATGACACACACAAGTGTTCATTGGAGTTAGTTTATTGGAGTTAGTAGACATGATTTACACAAAAGGTAACAAAAAGAATGACGGGATAAACAGAGAGAAGGAATAATAAAGATAAAGGGAGAAAGCAGAACCTAGAAACAGAATTACAGGAAGAAGTTTAGGCAATATGCCCCAAAGCAGGTTTACAGGAGAAAGGGAAACCTATCAGTGAAATAATAGGCAGCAAGTAAACATAATATCAGACAAAAATAAACAGCATAATAAAGGATAATGAAATTCAGGTTGGTTCTAAGTTAAAGTGGACAGTCTCTTTAGTTTGGAGGATTTGTACAGAAGTTACAGTTTAGTAAAGTCCAGGCAAGTTAGATCCAAAACAAATAAGGAATAGTTAGCAAACAAAGTCCTGGTGGAGTTAACCCCTTCAGGACAGTGTCAATAGTACACGCAAGTGGGGTATGTCCAGTCTTTTTTAGTAGCCACTTAGTCACAAACACTGGCCAAAGTTAGCGTTCATATTTGTTTTTGTGTGAAAAAAGCAAAAAACTAATATTTGGCCAGTGTTTGTGACTAAGTGGTGACTAAAAAAGACTGGACATACCCCATTTGCAATACCTTGGGTTGTCTACTTTTGCAAATGGTATGCCATCATGGGGTAATTCTCATTCCTGGGCTACCATGCGGTCTCAAAGGCAACATAACCAATCTGGCAAATTTCAATGTGAAAAAAATGAAATGCAAGCCTTATATTTGACTCTCTAACTTTCCAAAACACCATAAAACCTGTACATAGGGGGTACTGTTATACTTGGGAGACTTCACTGAACACAAACACAAGTGTTTCAAAACAGTAAAACATATTACAACAATAATATTGTCAGTAAAAGTGCCGTTCATGTGTGAAAAATGCAAAAAACGTCAATTTACTGAATATATCATCGTTGTAATACAAGTTACCATTTTGAAATACTAATATTTGTGTTCAGCAAAGTCTCCCGAGTAAAACAGTACCCCCCATGTATAGGTTTTATGGTGTCTTGGAAATTTACAGGGTTAAATATAGTGAGTGCGAATTCAATTCTCTGCACTTTCTGCCTGGGTTGTTAGGCACGTCAATCAAATTTTAATTAATTAAATCACATAATTATGTTAAAAGATTACTTAAATATGCACGTAGAATTTTAATATATATACATATATATGTATTTAAATTCTACGTGTATTCTTATGTAGTTATTTATGTAATTATACATATTTATCTGTGTATATATATATTTTCGGTTATTTGTATTTTATATATAGATAGATATATATAGAATGTCATTCTAAGTGTATTTTGTTACCAATATATATATATATATTAATAACAAAATACAGTTAGAATGAAATTACATATGTATATATAATTTATTTGAATTTAAAAAAAAATATTTAATTTATTTATTTTATTATTTTATTTATTTTTGTAATTATACGTGTATATATAAATATAAAATATATAGATGTATTATATATATAAGATATATATATATATATATCTTATATATAGTGATGTCGCGAACCCGAAATTTTCGGTTCGCGCCAGCGAACGCGAACTTCCGCAAATGTTAGCGAACCGGCGAACCGCCCGAAACGCCATTGACTTCAATGGGGAGGCGAATTTTAAAACACACAGGGACTCTTTCTGGCCACAATAGGGATGGAAAAGTTGTTTCAAGAGGACTAACACCTGGACTGTGGCATGCCGGAGGGGGATCCATGGCAAAACTCCCATGGAAAATTACACAGTTGATACAGAGTCTGGTTTTAATCCATAAAGGGCAGAAATCACCTAACATTCCTAAATCACAATCAATATGGATTGACACCTGACATATGACATATTGACACCTTGACATATGGATTGACACCTGTCCTCAGAGCCCCTGATGCACACGGACACAGAGCAGAATAGAGACTGGTCCCCCTACATAGGGTCACTTGGCAGATATGGATTGACACCTGTCCTAAGGATCCCTGATGCACACTGGCACAGAGCAGAATAGGGACTGTTCCCCCTACATCGGGTCACTTGGCAGATATGGATTGACACCTGTCCTAAGGTTCCCTGGTACACACTGACACAGAGCAGAATAGGGACTGGTCCCCCTACATCGGGTCACTTGGCAGATATGGATTGACACCTTGTTACAAACTGCTATTTGTAACGGGCCCTTTAAATGGCAAATTGCCCTGCTTCCCTGGGTTGTGGAGAAGCCTACTTGCCAGCCTCCTCCCGCATGACTATGGCCCCTGGGAGATTGTGAAAATGTATGCACTTTTATTTGGTGTATATGGCCCTTTAAGACTGTCGGTGGGCATATTGGGGCTTATGGACTCTTTATGTGACTGGTGCTGGCCCTTTAAACACCTTTTTTGGGACATCAGGAAGATTGGGACACTGCCCCTTTAAGGCCGTGTCCCCAGACTTGTTGGGGACACGGCCCCTTTAAGACGGTGTCCCCTGTGTCCCCAGACCTGGTGCAAACCCTTTGTGCCTGCCTTGCTATTTCCCACTTGGTTCAGTAAATGGGAAATTATTTCAGCTGCAGAGACTAAGTCCCATTCGGCGATGGGACTTAGTCTTTTTTTCAACCGTTTTTTTCAGCCTTATTTCAGCTGCAGAGACTAAGTCCCATTCGGCGATGGGACTTAGTCTTTTTTTCAGCCGTTTTTTTCAGCCTTATTTCAGCTGCAGAGACTAAGTCCCATTCGTGATGGGACTTAGTCTTTTTTTCAGCCGTTTTTTTCAGCCTTATTTCAGCTGCAGAGACTAAGTCCCATTCGCGATGGGACTTAGTCGTTTTTTCAGCCTGAAATAGACCGACCTCACAGCCCAAATCTATGGAACTGTTTTGGGCAGGAAAATGTGCTTGCGGTCGGTCATAAAGGGACCTCCAGCTAACTTTTTAACCCCTGGATGGATTTGGCTGATTTTTGGTTATGTTTATGTTTTAAGTGTGCTGATTCCAAATATGTAATTATGAAGATGGGATGTGTAGTTTTAAAGTTACAGGGTATGGCTAAAAACTGTATTTTTACTGCCTGTGTTTAATTATGTTAATCTCTTCCCAAACGTCATTTCGTTCAAAGTGGAGAGAATGTTAAAAAAATATATTTTTGTTGGAGTGTGAGAAATGCTTTTCAGCCGCTTCTAATCTTAAGCATCATTTGAGGAGCCATACAGGAGAGAAACCTTATTTGTGGTGTGTTTAGTATTGTTCTGATCAGTTTAATACCTTCAGCGTCTCCTATCAGTGGGCGTGTATGCCGTATTTTAGGAACGTGCACCTGGTACCCGAGCAAGGTCACCTGGATTTCAACAAGCGACAACATTTGTCCCTGGAAAACTATCCTGGACATTCTGTACAATTTGTATGGATATGGCAGTTTGATTTCTGTGCAGGGAGATGGAAGAAGATGCTTTGAGTAGGTCCTCTTGAATTCAAATTTGGGGCACTTTCTGTGGTCAAACTAATGCATGCCACCAGATAGGAAGTGGTGTGTTTGAAGTATTTTTCTGATCAGTTTATTACCTTCATGCATTCTCTATCAGTGGGCGTGTATATGGCAACCATTTTAGGAACCCATTTTACCTGGGACGAGCGAAGGTCCACCTCGTTCAACAGGCTTGCGAGCATATCCTCCAGGAAGAAAGAGCTGAACCCTTACCGGCTGCACGTGTCTTACCTGTACATGGAAAGCTGCTGTGGTTCCATGATGAGCCAGCTGCCCGTGAGTTAACATGTCCCGTGGAGAAGCACTCTGTCCTGTAAAGCCTCACCAAAAAAAAGGAGTGGTGTGTTTAGTATTGTTCTGGTCAGTTTAATACCTTCCGCGTCTCCTATCAGTGGACGTGTACACGGCATTGATTTT